TCACAGCTCACAGCAACCTCAAACTCTTGGGTTTAAGCAATTCTCTTACCTCAGCCTCCTAAGTAGCTGGGACTACAGGTGCCCGCCACAGCACCGGGCTATTTTTTGGTTGTAGTTGTTATTGTTGTTTGACAGGCCCGGGCTGGATTTGAACCCACCAGCTCTGGTGTATGTGGCTGGCACCCTAGCTGCTGAGCTACAGGTGCTGAGCCAGTACTGGGTTTAAAAATATATATATACATATATATGTGTGTGTGTGTGTGTATAAATACATGTAAAATATATACATATATATTTTAATTTGAGAGGGAGTTTCCCTCTGTTGCCCTGGGTAGAGTAACATGGTGTTATCATAGCTCACAGCAACCTCAAACTTTTGGGCTCAAGTGATCCTCTTGCCTCAGCTTCCCAAATAGCCGGGACTATAGGCACCTGCCACAATGCCTGGCTAATTGTTCTATTTTTAGTAGAGATGGGGTCTTGCTCTTGTTGAGTTGGTCTCAGACTCCTGAACTTAGGCCATCCATCCACCTTGGCCTCCCAGAGTGCTAGGATGGCAGACTTGAGCCACTGTCTGGCCTGGAACTCTTTTTTTTTTTTTCTCTCTCTTTTATCTTTTTTCTTAAGCTTCCTCTTGGTCATACTTGTATTTTAATTATTATTATTGTATGTTTTAGAGACAGAGTCTTGTTTTGTCTCCTAGGCTGGAGTGCAGTGGCACAATTAACCTTGAATCCCTGGGTTCAAGCAATTGTCTCACCTCAGGCTCCTGAGTAACTAGGACTATAGGCACACGCCTATGCCTGGCCTAAGTTTTAAATTTTTGACAAGGCCTCACAATGTTGCCTAGGTTGATCTGAAACTCCTAGTCTCAAGCAAGCCTCCCACAGTCCTGGGATTATAGGTGTGAGCTACTGTACCTGGCTGCACTCTTTGCACTCAAAATGATTGTGATACAACTGTTATAGGATCAGTTGTAGACTTACTACCTATACTTGAAAGCTGCCTTTGACAGGGCAAAATTCTGTTGTTTTAGATTTCTAGTAGTTTTTTTTTTTCAAAAAGTTTTTTTTCCATGGGGAGTGGGTGTTGTCTTATGAATATAAATTGTGACAGAGTAAGGCAAGAATTATTTTATTATCCCTTTTAGGATGTGACCCTTGACCTAGTGGAATTAACTTTTAAGGATCAGTATATTGGCCGTGGGGATATGTGGCGACTAAAGAAAAGTTTGGTAGGTGTGATTTTTTTTAAAAGTTTGTTATTATTTCCATTATGTGATTAACCCCTGTTTATCATAGATATTTAGAAGAGCTAGAAGGGAGAAGAGTATAAAATCATTTTCATTTCTAGCATCTATAGATAATTATTGTTAAGTATCCTGTGGGTTCTTCTTTTTTCTCTTCATAACTTTTTTCAGCTTTGTTTATTTATTGTTACAGAGGTTTACTCTACATTTTAAGTTTAAATGGGAAATTATACTATATTTTACATTTAAATGGTACTTTAGTTTTCATTTTTCTTTTTTTTCTTGAGACATAGTGTCACTACATCTCCCTTGGTAGAGTGCCGTGGCATCTCAGCTCATAGCAACCTCCAACTCTTGGGCTTAAGTGATTCTCTTGCCTTAGCCTCCCAAGTAGCTGGGACTACAAGTGGCCACCATAATGCCTGGCTATTTTTCTGTTGCAGTTGTCATTGTTGCTTAGCTGGCCCAGGCTGGGTTTGAACCCACTAGCCTGGGTGTATGTGGCTGGCACCGTAACTACTGTGCTCCAGGTGTTGAGCCAGGCACTTTAGTTTTCAGATTTTTCACTTGATCTCATTTGTTTTTCACATCTTCTTCTGGAAAGGTATTTATTGTTACTAATTTATAGGCTAGATAGCTAGCAAGCTGTTGACACTTGGCAAGAACCTGGATCTTGTGGTTTCTAGGTCAGACTGCTTTTTGCTTCCCATTTTCCTTATTTATTTATTTATCTGGACAGAATCTCACTTTGTCACCCTGGGTAGAGGGCCGTGGCATAATAGCTCACAGCAACCTCAGACTCTTGGGCTCAAGCAATCCTCTCGCCTCAGATTCCCAGGCAGCTAGGACTACAGGTGACCATCACAATACTTGGCTATTTTTAGAGATGGGGTCTCACTCTTGCTCAGGCTGGTCTTTTTTTTTTTTTTTTTCTTAAAGACAGAGTTTTACTTTGTTGCCCTCAGTAGAGAGTTGTGGTGTCATAGCTCACAGCAATCTTAGACTCTTGAGCGCAAGTAATTCTTTTGCCTGAGCTTCCCAGGTATCTGGGACTACAGGCGCCCGCCACAACATTCAGCTGTTTTTAGTTATGGGGTCTCGATCTGGCTCAGGCTGGTCTCAAACCTGTGAGCTTAGGCAGTCCACCCGCCTTGGGCTCCCAGAGTGTTAGGATTACAGGCATGAGCCACTGAGGCCAGCCCCATAGTTATTTATTTATTTATTTATTTATTTATTTATTTATTTTTTGAGACAGAGCCTCAAGCTATCCCCCTGGGTAGAGTACCGTGGCATTACAGCTCACAGCAACCTCCAACTCCTGGGCTCAAGTGAGTCTCCTGCCTCCGCCTCCCCAGTAGCTGGGACCACAGGCGCC